AAGGGAAAAAAAGAGAAAAATCCCCCTCTAGTGGTAGAAGGCGGAATAGCAGCTTCCCATTAGTTCCTATGGACGGAAAAGAGCAGATACGGATTAAATGGTTTTCAATGCATTCCTATGGGAAATGCAGATTCTACATAAGAACTTTTCCACTTGAGAACCACCTTCCAATACGGATTAAGTTCTTAAGTAGAGACCCCACTGTACTCAAAGGCAATCACATCAGAAAGCTCTCTCAGTGACTGTTACAGCACAACCGCCAATAAAATCTAGTTGTGAGGGGGAAGTAGAGGATTTTGATCTAGAATTTCTGACACTGAACTTTAGCCCCCAATCCAGTGTTACAAACAGTGCAGGAGTCCTGCCACACCATAATTTTTCCCTTCTGTCTCCCAATCCTCCTCCTATCTCCCCTGTGAAAATGGCTCCCATTCCCATAGAGCTGGTTGCAGAAGTGCACAGGGATTTGGCTGCCTGCCCAGTTTCACTGATGGAAGAAGTTTTTTTTCCAGCCCACCTCTCCCATTGGATTGAAGTATGTGAATAAATTCGTGGAGGTCCTACTCTGCTGTTATATGGAACTGAGTCGACTTAATGATCCATAGGTCCCTTCCAGCTCTGCAGTTCTAACATGATGGTGATGAGGTCTCTGTGGCAAATGAGAATGAAAGCCCTATGGGGGGGGTCACGCGTTATAAACGTCACTGCTTGTTTGCTGCCACTTTCAAACCAATGGATCACGCATTATAAAAACATTTTTTTGAGATCACGCATCATAAACGCCATACAATCGACCACCTGCGGCATTTATCGTTTTTGACATTTGTTCTTTTACGCCTCTTTCCAGACTTCGAGTGCTATTTCTAAATGAGAATGAACTGAAAGACTTTTTTCGGAGTGGGGGGGTGGGGAACCATGGGACGCTAAAAATCTGAACTTGGCCCTTTCTTCGGATCAAATAAAGCCGGTTGAATCCATGAGGCGGTTAAAAGGGGGGGGAAGGCTTTTCCGGAAGAAAGGTTCTTTCTCCCCCCCACCTCGCGTTTCCTTAGGTCATCCCGCAGGAAGGGATTGGGGGGGGCTGCTCCGTCCCCTTCCGAGGGAAAGCGGAGGGAGGAGAAATCATTAGAAGGGCTTTCCTCGACCCTTCTCTCCGCCACCGCTCTATCTTTCCGATCTCTGTGGCTTGCGCCCTGGCGCCGGAAAAAAGCGTCACGGACCACGTGAACAGCTCCTAGCCGCGGGAGCGACGGGGACG